TTGCCTTCCCAATTGTCTCTTACACATCTCTTATACCAGAACTTTTTCACCTTTCTGTAACCATAAAACAAAATTCTCCATACAATTAACTCATGTTAGAAGAGGTGAGGCGTACTAATAGCACTTAGCTCCATTTTCCTAGGATCTTACCCTAGCAGAAACTCCCTGAATTCATGAAAGCTCAACCTTTTCAACATGTGGAGCATGAATTAGGAGAAGTGCAAGTCTAGAGTGAGACTGACTAATAGGGAAAACAGTTGTAATAATAGTAGGGAAAGATATTTCTCAAATTAATATTTGGGAGACAAGGTAAAGAGAATTTCTGAATTTCTTTAAGCAGTTGTATTAACTGCGATGCTAGCCAGTGATGGAGGAATTCCAGAAGTGGAGAATCTCAGCTTTTGTATGGGAATAAGTCCAAACATTAGTCCAACAATGCTAAGCTCATTATTGAACCACAGCTTGGTTGGTATTGAAAATGTCTCAGGATGGGGGGTCCTCTAAGAACAGGACACCAAGGCAAAAATAACTCAGCAAGGCAGAGTTTACTTCTGCAGAAGGGTATGCACTAACAAGAAGCCAATTAAGCAAAAATTTGAGTGGGCCATCCACCCAGGTTCTATCACTAGTTTACTGCCCTTCGTTCAGATTGGTCACAGGTTCACAATCTTGTATAATTGACTAGTTTGAAAAGAGTCAAAAGTTTACCCAAGTAATCAACCAAAACCAGAACATCTGGCCAAAACTTGTCAGAAAAAACAGTTCTTACTCAGCTGGCACTTTACCACTTGAGCCATGGCTCCAGCCCCTAGAAAAAAATTTTTATTACAAGATTTGGCTTAAAGAGCTTCTTGTAAGATAGCAGTGACACTTAAATGGCAATGCTTATGTCAAACAACCACTTTGTCAGAAAAGATTCTAACTCTTACAATTGGTTTTAGAATGGACATAAGAAGCCGGGTACCAGTGGCTCATGTCTGTAATCCTATCTACTCAAGAGGCTGAGATCTGAGGATCACAGTTCAAAGCCAGCCCAGGCAGGAAAGTTCATGAGACTCTTATCTCCAATAAGCCACCAGAAAACCGAAAGTGGCGCTGTTGCTCAAAGTGGTAGAGAGCTAGCCTTGAGCTGAAGAGCTGAGGGACAGCACCCCGACCCAGAGTTCAAGCCCCACAACTGACAAAAAAAAAAAGAATGGACATAAGTTACACAAGGGGAAATTTGCTGTGGAGTTTTGGGAATAGGTTTTTGCTATGGTTTGTGTTGGAAACCTAATCTCCATTGTGATTATACTAAGAAGTGGAGTTTTATGAGGTCATGAAGTCATGAAGTCATGAAGTAAAGGGATTAGAGAGAGCCCTTTTGAAAGGAGTTGAGGTTGAAGGGGGAACATTTTTTTTATGTTTTTGCCAGTTTGCCTTCGGCCATGTGTTGATGCAGCAATACTGTCCTTAATCAGGTATTGGTGTTCAGAAATGTTAGAAAACTGTCAAATGTTCTGTTATAATAGCACAGATTAAAAGGGCTTTTTTCACTCATTAAAAAGAGACACCCAGTAACTCAATGGATTTCTCTGTGTCTGCATGTGACAAGTAAACTATAGAAGGTATTTTAAGATCATAAATGAAAAATAAAGCCAATATGCTGAAAGTGTTAGAATAGGAAGATCTAGAAGGAATCTGACTCTGATAGTTATGGTTAGCTGCTGAATTGGAACAATCACACTTGAGACTTTTCATTGTTGGAAATAGTCCCTTATAACTTAAGCCAGGTGAGGCTCCTATTATGTGCAACTCAAAATACCTTAAGAGATACAGAATTACCCTTTCTTCTTTTTCTTTTTTCTTGAACTCTGGGACAGAATTACCCTTATAAGAGAAACTTCTGGCCAAGCCTGTTGATCATTTGGATTGAAGACCTTTGAGACTGAATCCTTGGTCCAACCAATGGCTCAGAGCAATTCACTATGAAAGAGTAAACTGACAGAGCTGAATGTTTTGAAAATTATCTCCACTAAAATAATATTTTTTAAATTGCCATTTTAGTTCTATCAATATTAAGACATGGAATTTTAATTTTTACTTCCTGCATATAACTTAACAGTTATTATGTACCTATTCTTGCTCAAGACGGCTGTCATATTCAGCAATAGAATAGGACCTAGGTCATGATAGAAGTTTACAGCTTTGTCAAAGCCCATTGACAGAGCACAGGAAATAAAACTCAACCAAACAGGAAGTAGGCAGAATAGAATAGAGCAGCAGGAAATATTTGTGTCTCACGTAAGATTGTCTATCTATAGAACACAAGAACCAACAAAACAATTAGGGCTAAAAGCTTTAATTTGTAAATATTTAAAGAGGATCACAAATAGAGGGGAAATGAGCAAGGAAGTAAAGGGAAGAGAAATAATGTCCTTACCAGAACAATTATTGCATAGACTAAAGAATGTTGTCTGCACAGGTAGCGGTAGTTTTAAAACATTTCTGCAAATTCCTTGACCATCCTCCCATGAAGAGGGAGGATCTCTGGCCCCTCCCTTTGAATCTGGGCCAAACCATAGTGACTACTTGATCTGTAAAGTATGGCAGATGTCATGCTAGGTTAATTTCCAGGTTGTGTCAAAAGTAATATAGATTCTCCTTGGTTGTCTGGATCCTGCATTAGACCCTTTAGCTACTGTGTAAGAAACATTACTGCCCTGAGCCCACCTGCTCAAAAGAAGCAGATATAATCTATGTAGCATTACAGACCACATAGAGAGTATCCTACATGTAAAAAAAGAGATGCCTAACTATCCTAAGCTCTCCTAGGTCATTTTTTTGTCTCCTGTCTGATTGCAATTACATGAGATCCTAGGGCAGAGCCATCTATTGGGGATCTTCCTGAATTCCTGACCTATAGAAACCATAAGAGATCACAAAATGATTGTTATTTTAAACTAATAAACATTGGATATTTGTTAAGAAACAGTAATTAACCAGGACTATAGATAAGGTGATTTAAATGCTATGGTTCTTTGTTAAGTTGGGAAAGAACTCAAAGGCCCAAGGGATGTCATTATACCCAATTACTATTTCAATCAAGGTGGTGTTTCCAGTCAAAGGACTTGTTACCAAAAATAAAAGCAAATAAATAATTGGTTATATCCAATAAAGTTTTAAAAACTCTTGATCTCAGTATCTCAAAGAACCTGTCTAAGAGGAAAAAAATGTTGATTGTAAAAGAATACAACAGGTAAAACAAAATGTTTAAATATTATTTATTTCTCAAGAGAAATCTGTATAAGTAATTTTCTTTTCACCAATAAACTGAGTACTAGATATGGCTCCCTGGCTGTATTTCCTTTCCAAAATTTTAAATGATTGAACATTGTGAGACCTACAAGGTAGTACCTAGCTCATAGGGACCTTAAATAAGTTTATGGTTTTTGAGGTCCTGAGCTGTTGCTTTTGTAAAGTGCTCAATCCAAAGTGGCTGCACATACCTGCTGCCAAGTGCCTTGCAAAAGAAAAGAAACCATTTCTTTACTTATTTATATTTTTGTCGGTCGTGGGGCTTGAACTCTGGGCCTCAGCTCTTCAGCTCAAGGCGAGCACTCTACCACTTGAGCTACAGCGCCACTTCTGGTTTTCTGGTGGTTTGTTGGAGATAGGAGTCTCATGGTCTCTCCTGCCCGGGCTGGCTTTGAACCGTGATCCTCAGATCTCAGCCTCCTGAGTAGCTAGAGCCACCAGCGCCCGGCAAGAAAAGAAATCATTGAATGGGGGCTCTTTGTCCTGAGCAATGGGAGAAAGGTGTCTTAGACAAGAGAGTTTTATTGTCTGGTGCTACATCCCAATGAACCCTCCTGGCACATGCTTGTGATCTCAGCCGCTCAGGAGGCAAAGGCAGAAGAATCAGAGTTTGAGGCCAGCCTGGACAAAGTTTGCAAGGTCCTATCTCAAAAACAAAATACAAACCAAAGGGCTAGATATGTGGCTCAAGTGGTAGAATGTTTGTCTAGCCCATGAGAGGCCCCGGACAAATCTTCAGTCCTGAAAACAAAACAACAACAACAAAAGGCCTGATCTTTTGCAAGACAAATCTTTTAGTCTGTATCAGTAATGTAAGTAAACATTCAAACAACATGGAAAGACTTGATTCCTGTGCACCTTATAACTTCTGATGTGTAGTTTGGAGCATTTCATTATGAAGTCAGAAGAGTTCACTGGGCTGTCAGCCCAGGGAACATCCTGAAATATTCCCAGAGTACAAGTATCCTCACAGCATCTGCTGTGTTGAAGATGGTGATGCTTGTCTCCTCCACAATGACCTTGGGAAGAATGTCCTTTGCTGTGAGTACTGGTGCGTTTGTGACTGCATATTGTTGCAATCACCTGTCAAGGAATATCTGCAGGACAGGATACAACACACCAAGAAGCACATCACAGAGCAAATAGAAGAGACAAAGGGGGACTATATAGTGGAATATATAATACTATATAACAAGTTATAGAAAAGTATTGCACTTTAGCCCTCTGGAGACTTTGGGGCAAAAACAAATGCTTTTAAATAGTTATTATTAGTTGCTGAAAGATGCTAGTTCTCTGAGAGTTAAAGAACTAAGGTACCTTCTTTTCATTGCTACTTGGAAATTCCCTGGCTAAATTAGAAAATGATGCTTAGCTTTCTCTAGAGAAGAGTTCAGCAAACTTTTTCCATGAAGGTCCCATAGAAAATATTTCAGAGTTTGCCAGCCAATAGGCAGAATTGTGACTATTCTATTTACTATAGATAAGGGTTCATATAACAAGAAAGAATACATTTTTTATGGCTTTAAGAATTTTCCAACAGTTTATGTTTATTGGCATTTGACCTATGGGCAAGCATACAGCAAGCCCTTCAACAAGTAGAAAAACAGTACCTTCCTTCAATTGAGGCCATGAGAATCCACCATTCCAAGCCTTCCCACTCTACCAGTAGTCCATGGCCCAAGGACAGGATCTGCTATTCTTTGAACAGTCTGATGATTCTCGGAATTGAAGAGCAGGGATTTTGAAGTTCTGTCTGTTCAGATTCCATAACAGAAACAAAGCAGAGGCAGAAGGTGGACAGCAAAGATGTCAGCAGTCCTGCATCTTGCTAGGTCTTTAGGATTTGTAGGCCACTCCTTGACTTGTTAGCTCCCGTACAATTCCTTGGGGCAGGTGACCAGTGACTGACACGGTATATACACCTGACTTAAAGTTACTGACTCGCTGCCACTTGGAGAGCCAGCTGTCCTCTGGATTCATCATTGCAATGATTCCATCAAAGGAAGAGCTGGTGCAGTCATATACCATTTCTCTGTTAGCCTTCACTTGTAGATATGCATCACAATGATCACATCCATCGTATTCAAACTGGGCTATAGTCTTGACCAGCGAACACAGCAGACATGCCCGCAGATGCCACAGAGCCTTCGGCACTGTCTCCAGGGTCATCTTCGGGGAAGGGAGAAACAGCTAGAGACTGAGTCACAGCTTCCACACCTCCAGAAGTAAAGATACTGTACAGAGGGGTTACAGTTACATGATAAGGTCATGAGTACATTTCTTATTGAGCATTGTTACCCCTTCTTTTGTTTTTCCCCTACTATCCCTTCCCTCTCCACCTCCTCGACTCCTCCCCCCCCCCCAAATTGTAAAGTTCGTTTTCAACATAGTGTCTTGTAGGTCTCATTACTACTATGGGTCAACCTGTATCCTTGTTTCAGCATTTTGTTATTTCCCTTCCCCTCCCTCAATTAGAAAAATGTATATACAAGATGCAGGGCACCAGAATCAAATACCGTGACAACAGGGGTTATATACCTTGGGGGAAGAACATACAAAAGAAACAAAAAAATCACATAGTATAGCAACAAAGGAAAAAATCTCTTGTGTCTTGGGAAGAGCACATTTTTATGAGAAACTTAAGTAAAGGTTTAAAAAAAGAGTGGAGCCAAGTGCCGGTGGCTCATGCCAGTAATCCTAGCTACTCAGGAGGCTGAGATCTGAGGATTGCAGTTCCAAGCCAGCTTGGGCAGGAAACTCTGTGAGATTCTTATCTTTAATAAACTACTCAAAAAACCTGGAAGTGGTGCTGTGGTTCAAGTGGTAGAGCACTCACCTTGAGCAAAAGAAGCTCAGCGACAGCACCCAGGCCCAGAGTTCAAGCCCCACAGCCAGCAATTAAAAAAAAAAGGCTGGGAATGTGGTTTAGTGGTAGAGTGCTTGCCTAGCATGTACAAAGCCCTGGGTTCAATTCCTCAGCACCACAAACAGAAAAAGCTGGAAATGATGCTGTGGCTCAAGTGGTAGAGTGCTAGTCCTGAGCAAAAAGAAGCCCAGGGACAGTGGTCAGGCACTGAGTTCAAGCACCAGGACTGGCAAAAAAAAAAAAAAAAAGTGGAATAGGGTGACATATAAAAAGATACATGTTTCAGCTGGGTGCCAGTGGCTCATGCCTATAATCCTATCTACTCAAGAGGCTGACCTCTGAGGATCATGGTTCAAAGCCAGCCCAGGCAGGAAAGTCCATGAGACTCTTATCTCCAATAAACCACCAGAAAAGCAGAAGTGGCGCTGTGGCTCAAGTGGTAGAGTGCTAGTCTTGAGCTGAAGAGCTGAGGGACAGCGCCCAGGCCCAGAGTTCAAGATCCATGACTGACACAAAAAAAAAAAAGAAAGAAAAGAAAAATATATGTTTTTGATTGTTTTTTATCAATGAAATTAAAAATATAATATTTAAAAAATATAGGTCTTCTACTGAGAAGAACTGACTTCCTTTTTTGGAAAATAACATTTAACTTAATTGAGGTTCAAAATTAGTGTTCCCATCATTAAATTGATTGCAAATGTTCTTTGGGGGAAAAAGAGCTCATAGATCATAGAACGGTAAGCAGTGGGCTGGATTTGGACTTGTAGATCTTAGTTTACCAATCTCTGCTCCTAGAGGAATAAATTCCTAAAGGTTGAAATTTGTTTCCATAAGGCTTTTAAACAAAGTATCATAAACAGGGTGACTTAAAGAAATAATTATACATGGTCTCTCTGCTGTGGAGAGTAGAGGTCTGAAATTAAGTTGTTAGCAGGACCATGTTCCTAAATCTCTTGAGAGGTCATTTCTTTTCCTCATCCTTTTTTTGTCAGTCCTGGGGCTTGAATTCAGGGCCTGGGCATCATCCCTTATCTTTTATGTTCAAGGCTGGTGCTCTACTATTTGAGCCACAGCTCCACTTCTTCCACATTATTTATTTTATTTTTTGAGTAGTTAATTGAAGATATGAGTCTCATGAACTTTCCTGTCTAGGCTGGCTTCTAACCCTGATCCTCAGATCTCATCCTCCTAAGGATGAACACTGTTACTAGCCCTCATCCAGGTTTTGGTATGTTCATGGCAGCATAAATCAGATCTCTGATTTATATGGCCATCTTCCCTCTACATCTACGTGTTTTGTCTCTTTTTCTGATCAGATAGCAGTCATAATCTAATTAGGTATGATCGTATCTTAATTAATTATATCTTCAAGGAATGGGACTCCATCTCTAAAGAAGATAGCCCTTAAATATATTTCTTGAGGGAGTCCAACTCAATCCACAGTACCGATGGACAGAATACCATGGAAGATTCTTGGCCCAAAGATGTCCTCATTATAGACCTCTTAGGGCAGTGATGGTATTGATAGCTAAACAATTTATTTTAGTTTTTATCTTAGGAAGTACCTGTATCCCTAGAGAAAACAGTGCCATCCTTTACAGTTCTAAACACTTGGGCACTTTTTTTTATATATTAGGCATTTTCATTTGAAATATGTCAGTGATTGAGAAAAGGGCTAGAAATCAGTCTTGGAAGCTCCATAATAAAATGGAGATCCTAGAAAATTGGAGTTTTTGTTTCTAAAATTTGCTTCTACCTTTCTCATTTTTGTTTGTTTGGGACAGGCTCTTGTTATGCATCCAGGAACTTGATATTGGGAAGTTCTAGGAAGGACAGGGGAGGGAGCTCTTACCAGAACTGTAGCTAAGCTGGAGGTCCTGCCTAACAGGAAGAAGGTGGAGGAAAGAAGCAGTGCCAAAATTCCAGCCCTTGTTGGTCAGGGTGAGGTTGGTTTGGGGTGGGCAGAAGTGGTATGAATACATACTTGTCTGTATACTCTTCCTCTTCTGAGCTCCTTCATTTCCATTGGCAAAGCCTGCTAGAAGCCAGAGAACTATACTGACTTGGGAATGTAATCTGCAGCAATCAAGGCACAGAGTAGGGCAGAGGAGGGTGGAGAAGTTGCCATCAAAAAAGAACCAGCATAATCTGAGCATGGTGGGTCAAGGTTCTAATCCTGGCTATTCGGGAAGTGGAGATTAAGGGATCATGGTCAGAAGTCAGCCTGGACATAAAAATTGATGAGTCTGTCCATCATTCAATGGTTGGGTATGGTGGCATGTGCCTATCATCCCCAGTGCCACAGGGAAGCACAAATAGGAAGAACACAGCCAGGGCAGCCTGGGCTTAAAGCAAGACCCTGCTTCAAAAATAACCAATCCAAAGGAAGACAGGAGGCAGAGTTTAGGCAAGCTAGGGTGCCTGCTTTGCAAGCATGAGGCCCTGAATTCATTGCTAATATTGTCAACAACAACAACAAGAGAAAAGAGAAGAAAAAAGAAAAGTACGGGGTGGAAGGGCTAGAGAGAGGACTAGAGCTGTCGCTACTATGTAGCAGTGAAGGTCTCAGAGGTAAGGCCTGGACCACTGCTAGGCTAGCAGTGAAGGTCTCAGAGGTAAGGCCTGGACCACTGCTAGGCTAGCAGTGAAGGTCTCAGAGGTAAGGCCTGGACCACTGCTAGGCTAGCAGTGAAGGTCTCAGAGGTAAGGCCTGGAGACATACTGCTTTGATCCCACCTTATGAAGCTCACCTTCCCAACCCTCCTCACAAAAGCTGCTTCCTCTTTTAGGTCTCTCCTTCTACTGGTGGGTTATTTAACCTCTGCTTCAAGAATGGGAGCAAATATACATATATATATATCTATATATATATTTAATTAAATAATCAGGGCCCAGTACATCCTGGGATGGGAATTATTACTATCCCATTTCATAATCCCCTATTTCCTCAGTTGTATTGGCCAACTGGTGCAGCAGAAGATAGGGTCAGAGATCAAATAATGTTGGAACTGTGTGTCATGAAATCTGATGGTGACACAAGGCCAACAAAATTGAAATGTCCTAAATACCTTTCTTTCATTGCATTATGTCGCTGATCCTAAGACGTGAATTTTCTCCCTTCACATTTTAAGTGTCTGGGATTCATATTACAGTTTCCTTATGAGGCTACAGTTAGGATACCCACTTGCACAGCAGGTATCATAATGTAGAAGACAGCCCTAGAGAAAGAGCACAGCATTCTGCCATAAAATGCTCCACCATCAGTGTTCTTGGTGATGCAGAAGGTGACACTACTTAAGATGCACCCAGACCATTTGGAGTTAAAACAAATAATTCAATCACAGTGTCAGAGAATAAACCAGTGATTTCATGGCCTGGGAAGGTAGGAAGAGAAGGGAAAGTGGCTGCTAATGGATATAGGACTTTGTTAGGAGGTGATAGAAATTTGTAACCATGTAACAATGATAATAGGATTTGATCTCAGGGTCTCAGACTTGCAGACAGATGCTTTTACCACTTGAGCAACAGCTCAGAACTTTCTGCTCTAGTTATTTTTTGGATAGGGTTTCACACTTTTGTTCAGATGAGCCTCAGACTGCAATTCTACCTATGCCTCCTATTTAGCTGGGTTCATAGCTATTAATTAAGATGCAGTCTCATTAACTTTTGCCTGGGCTAGTCTTGAACCATACACCTCCCAACCTCTGCTTCCTGAGTATCTGGGATTATAGGCATGAGCCACTTTGCCTGGCTTCATTTTTTAAAGGGGTATTTTTTGGTATGTGAATTAAATATCAATGTTTAAGAGGTGATTAAGAAAGCCAGGCACTCTCTTATCTCTCTCACCAGGTATTTATGGAAATTAACTAAGGTTATATGTCTATCATGTTTAGACACAGTAAAGACTCATTGAATGCTAGTGGTCTTAGATACAAGAGATGTAGAAAGAACCTCCATCTGAGGGGGCCCCAGACAAAAGAGAAAAATCTTATCCAAAATATAATTAAAGTAAAAAAAGGGATGGAAATGTGGCTCAAATAGAAAGTTTCTGCTTAGTGAGCATAAGCCCTGAGTTCAAACCTCAGTACTGAAAAAAAAATGTGATTCAAAACATGGAGGGAGGGGCTGGGAAGGTGGCTCAGTGGTAGAGCGTTTGCCTTGCATGCCTGAGGCCCTGGGTTCGATTCCTCAGCACCACATAAGCAAAAAGAAAAAAGCTGGAAGTGGTGGTGTGGCTCAATTGGTAGAGCGCTAGTCTTGAGCTGAAGAGCTGAGGGACAGCGCCCAGGCCCAGAGTTCAGGCCCCACAATTGGACCCCCCCAAAAAAAGTTTCTAGAATATTTTATATTCTTTTGC